GCCGCGTCAGGGGATGCTGCTGCCTCTCCAGCTCAGACAGCGTGCAGAGCCGCAGCTGGTGCCGACGGTGGTACTAGAGCCGCTCGTCCTCCATTCGCGCGCACAGGTCGATCAGGTACTCCTGGCCGAGGCGGGGCATGAGGTGCACCAAGGGCTCCTTGAGCAGCCGCTGACGCGCGTAGCGCATCGAGGTCCAGTACTTATCGCTGGGCTTCAGCTCGCCGCTCGTGATGTCCTCCTCGCGAAAGGCCCGCGTGTAGAAGCGTCGATTGATAACCTGGTCAAGCTCCACGTCGTCAAAGTAGTCGTTGCCCGTCCTGCCGCCACACACAGCACACCAACACGACCATTCACCCAACCAATCGAACCGTCCGCCTTCCCGTCGCTCCCCATTCACCTGGACGACAGAGGCATCGACGGACAGCAGCCCAGCCACCCCCTCTGGAAGATGAGCGGGTACTGCAGCGACTCGTAGGCCGGGCTCTTGCAGTCGACAAAGTCTTCGTCGTGGCCGGTGGTGGTCCGTCTGTAGGGACGGATGCACACGAGCCGCTCGCACGGATCATAGGCAGGGGAGTCCGGCAGCAGCACGCAGACCTCGTCTGAATGTGGCCTGTACTGGAACTCCAGGACGACCTGACAGCCCTCCGCTTGCGCAATCTCGCCGAACATGCGCAGCTGCCGAACAAACGGGTTCTCCTTAAGCAGCATCAGATGCAGCCGATCGACCAGCTGCTGGACCATCAACACTCGCTGACTCCTTCCCTTTGTCGCCCCCTCCACTCCAGCTATCGTCTTGATGCGCTTCGTGCGCTCCTCGTCCGCCCGGGGAGTCTCGTAGACCATCCACACCAGAGGCTGCTCTTCCGCCGACAGCACGCGGTGGTACACGCGTCCGCACATCTGCACCTCACTGAAGCCGGGAGGAAACGACAGGGCCACGCTGGAGCGCGCGTGAAAGCCCATCGCCGTCATCGAGAACGTGTTGTTGTACCACCGACTGTTCTTCCGCAGTTCAGGCCCAAAGGTGGGATCCGACATCAGCGCCTTGAAGTCGTTTGCCCACGGCAGAGGCTCAAGCACTGCCCGGCCACCTTCGCAGCAGAATGAGCTCCCCTCGCTCTTCCACACCCACGCCTTGCAATGCTGGCATTGCACTCGAGGACCGAGGCAAAGCTGCTTCGGAAAGGTGCGCGAGGGGTCCAGCAGGGGCTGATTACATTTCCAGCTGTCTGCACCACCACAGCACACAATCACTGCTGACATATGCCGTTGTCCCGCTGCTACCTGGGTAGTGAGCCTGCATGAAGAGCCGCTTCTGGTCCAGCAAGGCGAGGAAGGCACCACGGACCGCCCCAGCACGGAAGCCCTTCTGACTTGGCACTACCATACTTCCCAACGCTCCCGTGAAGGGCCATAGCCAGTGCTTCTCCACTCTTCGGTCCGGAAGCACCAGCTCGAGCTCGAAACAATACCTCTTCTTCATTACGGTCCATCTCACTATGCACAGCTCACAGGAGAACCCGTCGCTCCAGCAGTTCTCGGCCAGGCGCACGCCGGGATACATGAGCTCGCTTCGGATGAGGCCCTCAGCCAGCCGCTTCGCCTCGCCTTCGTCCAGCTCGGCCCCGCTACCGTCCTGCAGCGCAGCGATCGGCGACTGCCCGGTGAGTCAAAAGAACGAAGCCTCGTAAGCTGTTCTGGCAACCTCAAACGCCGATTGTATGTCTGCCCGCTGCGGCTGAGCGGCTCGAAACACCCTCGCTGGACCACCCGCCCTCACACAGAACGCGCCCGCCTCCCGATCCCATAGGAGTGTCGCCACACCCGCGTTCATCTTCACCATCGCCTTGTACTCATACACGAGTGCTTGCGCAAATAGATGGACAGACACGGAACAGATCTCGACACGACCTACCCAGCAACCATGAGCACACACATCGTTCATGCATGCATGCCCCAGCCACCATCTCGCCCCTTCTCTCTTTCCACACCTGGCTCATCGGGCGACGTATCCATCTTGGCTGCCTCGGCG